CCGTCTGATTTTCTTGTGAAAACTTTACTTTGCTTGTGAAAACTTTACTTTGAAAAATGATTATCGAAATTCAGTATACAACTATACATGGCCAGAATAATCACAATCTAAGCCCAGGTTTCATACATCTATTCACGAAACTATATTGAAATCGGGGCAATAATAGCAATTTCAAAGTGTTGTTTAGACTCTCCTTACACCCACGGACAGACCTGGCTACTCCGGTCACCGCTACTCCATGCTCACACACTCAGCTCCGACAGCACCGCCGACAGCGGCGCTCAGCTGCCGTGGCAATACACTGTGGACTCGAGGTAGTTTGCAACTGAACTGTCACGTGAAGGCGTACTATCACAGATCTATTTGCGCTATTCTTGTTGTGATTTCGATGTAGTTTTCATGAAAAGACCAATAAAACAGAAGCTTGGACTATGATTATGTTGGCATAGATCACAGAATTTGTATAATTATTTTCAGAGTAAAGATTTTACGTGAAAATAGGTCCATGGTTTGCGCCAGTTGTCGCAATCGCCTCGACTCGAATCGACTGTGGTGTGTGCATGTGTGTGACCTGAGAGCGTGTAATACACGTACACTGTTATGTTGGCGCCTGGCCTACAAAGCATATCCTATAGAAAGACGCATAACACGGGTAAGCTCAACCCGTTGAGCGTACATATTGGCTACATCCCATCACCCGGGTGAGTCGTCTGTTGATGTGTATTTCTCTTACATGCTACAAAGCGAACCCTATAGCAAGAGGTCTTACTCGGGATACGCCGCAGCTTTTTCAATGTGACTTGCTACACCCGTTGACGCGAGTGGATTCTCGTCCATCGTGTGTCTCTTCGTCTCTCTTTGATAATTAGACAGAGGGCGGGTGCACGCCTTGTCGACTCGCTCTCGCGGGTTCGTCGCCTCCTCGCAATCCACGCCGCCCGCCGTGCTCTCGCCCGCCCGTCCTCCCCGGCACCCCGAAACCGAGTTTAACGGCGTGGACGTCGATCGCGGGGTCGACGTGGCACGCGGGTTACGGGAGACAGGCCTCGTGGAATTGTGCCGCCCTCCCCGCGCCACGGCGGAGGCGGGCGGGGTCGGGGAAAGACGTTTTTGAGGAACCGTTTTGTACCCGTTTGGACCCCCCGCGGCGATTAGTGGTATTAGTAATATAGATTATTTATAAAACAAGTGACTGATGTTTTGTCTCAACTCTCAAACTGCTTCCTCTTGTCCTCATAAATCAGCAGTTTAGTTTGATTACTACTAAAATATTTGATAGCAGATGGTGATGAGGACAAGCTACAATTTGCTAGAAATGAACCCTTTCTTTTAAAGTCCTTTCCCCTTCCCTGTTACTTCTAATTTGATGGTTCATAAAATATTTGGTGCGAGATGGTGAAATAGAAAGCCAGAACTTGTCAAAAATTGTGCTTTATACAAATGACACCCCACTCTTGTATGTGAATATCTTCCTCAACTCCTCATAAAATCATAATTAAATATTGATGACATTAGGCTCATTTACACAGCCCAAAAACTATTTTGAAAAACCATCAGATTTTGGATTGCCATTTACACTACTGAAAACCCAATAAGAAACCATCAGTGGTTTCTGGCCTGCATGTGTTAGCACCGAGGTGAGGAGAGTCACATGACCCAAAAACACAACCATTCACTGATATTTTGAAGGTGAGCAATATAAGGTGAGAAATTTACCAATAGTTGCTAAGCAACTTCTGACGAAGCACCGCAATGTGAGAAAAATAAATGCAGCTTGTTTTAAAAGAAACAGAAGACGGTACTGTCATGAGATATAACTCTTTATGGTTTCCAGACATTTCCTTATGACAGTCCCTTCCTCTTAGCTTCAGAGAAGCTGTATCATGGAAAGCTTTCAAAACATTAATGGGTGACTGACTGATTGATAATTTTAGGTGTATATAGGCATCCAGCAGACTCACTGTTTATGCCTTAAGTTCTAAAGGAAACAGTAAATGTGGATTAATGCATTATAGTGCGGTATGGTATGTATTCCCGTAGGATTTTTTTGCCAAAGTTGATTTTTGTTGTTGTTCAGGGGTGATAGTGAGCACTAAAAAAAAAATAGGTTTTTGTTTTCCCCTCAACCCACCCCCCTTGAGTAAAAAAAAAAAAAGGCGATTCGCGGGGAAAAAAACGGCATCTAACAACATTCCCCCTTTCGATTAAGAAAATTGGGAGAAAAAAATAGGGCAAAATAGGGAAGAATAGAGAAAATAAGGGGGGAATCAGGAAAATCAGGATAAAAAAGGGAAAAAAAAAAAACCTGGTAAAAAAAAAAAAAAAAAAAAAAAAAAAAAAAAAAAAAATTTTTTTTTTTTTTTTTTAATCGGGAAGAAAAAAAAATCGGGAAAAAATCGGGAAAAATCAAAAAAATCGGGAAACCGATTTAAATCGGGTTTTTATCAGGCCTGTGTTGTTGTTGCTGTTTTGGCTTCAAAAGGGTCCCAATTGGCCAAAAATGATGGGGTTCAAATTTTTAGACCCCTCCTTCATTTCCTGGGGGGTCCATATTGGGCGCCAAAATGGCATATATAACGCGCAATAGGGAAATTTGGTGTCTTCTGGAAAATTTGAACCCCATCAATTTCTGATAGCTTGGACCCCAATGAATCCAAAAATGCAAAAAAAAAAAAAAAAATCAACTTTGGTTTCAGTGGCATACCGTACCACACTATTACCATGGAAGGGCATTAGCAACCTAATTTGCATCTTAAACAATGACATCCCAGGCCTATTCCTACAAACACTGCTTCCCTTTCCTCCAGTGGATCAGAGATGATACAATGGAAGGCTAGAAATTGTCAGAAGCCCAGGATAGTGGACAGACCTTTCCAAACTGCAATGTGGGACAACTGTAATCAAGAGTCCATTGGAGCAAAGCAAGCAACACGAGCGGAGCTCCTGGAGCTTATGGGTTTTGGCACTTTCAGGCATGTAGGAAAGGGTATCCAGATGCCTAAAAATAAGGTTTTTTAATGTTTAAGCTTATAGACTATAGAAAAAGATCAAGATTTCTCCAGAATGCGGGATAGTCCCACACAAAGCGGGATACTTGGCAGGTCTGGGAGTATTTCAATCTTTGACAAAAGAACTTCAACATCTATTTGAAAGGGTGGGGGAGAGGATGCCAGCTATTATGTGGAACTACCAGCAGTCCCAAGATAGCCATAGCCTGCAACCCTACCCAATCATAAACACCTGCCTTTTCCTCCCTAGCCCTTTTCCCGTTGTTAGTTTTATGAATCATTGACAGGACTGATACTCCTCCATGGGACATCCACTCCCTGTCTCTTTGCAAAAACACATTTTTCTACTTTAATATACATGTACCTCTCACACAACAAACCCCAAAGCTCTGTATGAAATTAATTAAAGTAACCTTCATAGAGTCATGTTTCAGCTTTAACAAAATAATTCAATAATAAAAACGACATATGTAGATATTTATCTTGCTAGTATCAATAAACATTACACTCTGTGAATCATATACATGCCAAATGTACAGAATGACCAAAGACAATGTTCTTCTTTAAAGGGGTCCTACAACCCAACTAAATTAGCCTTTCAAAACATGAATAAACCTCTACTTACTAATATTCCAGCTTAACATTTTTTAGAAAAATCTTTATATTGAGCCCAAAATGATAATAACCATCCATTTTCACAGATCTCACACTTGCCAAGCTCCATCCCACTGTCACATGGCTTGATCACGCATTTGAGGTCATTGCAGGAATTTCCTTGTATATATCCTTCAACTAAGGATCTTAAAATCTCATTGTAATTCATCATTAGGAATGTTGAAATGGCATATTATTTTCGGATAAACGTCTCCTTTTTTCCAATTAATATCATAGTTTGCCTGTTTTTAGACAGTTGAATGCCTAAATCACCCTCCTTTTCACTGAGAAGTCGTGAGCACACATTTTTGCTTTTAATAGACTCATACCACAGTCCTTTCATTGCGTTATTTTTCTATCAAAATTGTTTCCTAGCGTTTTTTTTTAACACTACTAGACTGTAGTGTTAAAAAAACAGGAAATAATTTTTAAAATTTTGATTTCCAATCATAAATATCTTGATCATGAGACAGTAGACATTGGAGAAAATGAGTATGGTGAAACTGGTCATTCAAAGATTTTTTTACTTTTTTGAGGCACTTTTGTTTTGATGGTCAATTTTGTTTTGATAAATCACGAGCTGAACCTAGACCATTAACTAAACCAAAGCGAAACATCGCAAAACTGCAATCTATTTCCATCATGATTGCCACAATTTTTATATAGTTTTCGTAAATAGAGGTATGAAACCTGAGCTTAGATTGTGATTATTCTGGCCATGTATAGTTGTATACTGAATTTCGATGATCATTTTTCAAAGTAAAGTTTTCACAAGAAAATCAGACAGTCATTTAAAAACATAGACAATAGAATACTTTTACTAAAATACAATTCTTGTATCAAATCAATGCATTAAAACTTAGTTATTTAACTAGATAAATGCTTTCTTTTTGAATGGGTAATTATGAAGCAGGAAGCCCGAAACGAATCAAAGATATATAAGCCAGTAGGCCTCCTAAATAAACTCAACAAACTGTATCCTTTCATGAATTAATGAAAAAGTAGCCCCAGAAAAAAGAGCCCCCAAAATGGAAAAAAAAGCATCATGAAGTTGTTAAAGGAGCCCCCGAAAATTTCCCCCAAAATGGATATGGCGCCCCCAAAATATATATATATATATATATATATTTTTTTTTTTCCCTGCTGGCAAGCAATGGAAAGAGATTGAAGATGGGAAGTTGAGAGGGGAAGGGAAAGAGATGTTGCCCTTCACAAAAGAAGCTTCATCATCTTGTACTTCAGAGGTTAGAGACATTGTTTGTATTCTGAGTCGTCAAGGTTGAGTAACACTCTGTCCGGTGACAGAGCCTTCTATCTTATGAGTTATCAGACACTCACCAAGAAATGGGTCACTTCCTCTGGATCCCTACCCTTCACAGGGATCCCATTCACCTCCTGAACTTTGTCACCAACATGGATCAGACCTGACATCGAAGATAAAAAAAGGGAAGAATATGAAAACAATGAGAAAAAAAACAAACATTCACATGCTTATTGTGACAGTAGCTTGCATAAGTATTACAGTAACAAAGACATACATAATTATCAATTTATTCATCACTCGCCCCCCCCCTCGAATATGAATAAATTGTATGAATGTCAATGGTACTGTTACACTATGTTCATTTTCAGCTCCCTCTGAATTTGGGTAATCAGATGACAAATAAGCCGCTATCGTGATGACGACGCCCTATGTAGAGCAGCCAGCTCGATTGTATGTCGCAACCGGCCAGCCATGAAAATGACAATTGTGCGGGAGTAATTGTTTGAGAAAGTTTGTGAAAGTTTGTGAAAGTTTGTGAAAGTTTTGAATCGTTTTGAACAACTATATATTAAAGCTGAAAATCAAAGGGAGTGAATTTGATAATAGTAGGGTTTTTAAAAGTCCGCTTATCGGTATACCTATTAACAGTAGACTAGATATATAAATATTGCTCACCCCGAGTACACATATACCATAATACCATGTCTTTGAAAGACGGCACACCGGCGCAGGCTGGCCACATGCCCATAGTACAGCACCCAGGTGCAAGAGCAAGATGTTGTGTGTCCCGACATGTTGTGTATGTATCCGGACAAAACGGCGATTTGATTTTGAAGAAGTTTACAGGTTATATTTCACAAATCGTTTGAGATTAAGTTTGACAATATTATAATGCACAAAAGTGCATGCTGGTCGGTGCCATTTAATAAACATCTTTTGTTAAATCCACAGGCAAAAGAGCCTCAGGACACACGACCACCCCATCCTACACTACATCAATTGCAGTATATTTACGGTCCATAGATCGACTCATGATAGCCTCTGACTCAGATAAACTTCTCAGAGAATCTGACAAAATTATTTCAAATTGATTTAGCAAATTTATTAATAGAGATTCAATGAAACAGTAGAGCTGTTAGAGCATGAAGAAGCAACCGATGGCTATAGCCTCTACATATGCTGATGTCATCAAGTCGTCTTCTATTTTTGTGAGATTATTTCCGTGTTTTGATGCTCATAAATTCAAGCTTTCAAACAATTATTTCTCCTCTGCATGACACTTGAGCAAAGAGTAGCAATTACTATATTCTATGGCTCATATGCTTCAGTTTGATATATAATTTATCAGTTTTTCAGTTCGAAGATGGTCTTTAATGATTGAGGGGAAAGGGCATGTAAAGGTTCAACCCCCCCCCCTTCAATCCATTGGGCTTTTGGCCACAGAGCCGCCATTTGTTTCAAAAGATGACTTCAATGGGTTGTATCGGGGGGAATTAAAAATGTTTCCTTGGGACAATTTTCTGTATTTCAGGCTTTCTGATACTCAAGTTAAGATTTAAAGCATAATAAATAAAAAAAATAAGTCTAAATGTTGCAAAAAAATTACCATGGATAATTGCCCCCTAGAACTAAATGGTAAAATATATGAAAGTAATACCTCTGGCTAATTGTCCCCTCTGGCATTTTCATATCCACTAACATAAAATTTAAAAAAAATAGTTTTTAATAGTAGCTTTGCTTGCTCACACATTCTAGAAACTTTATAGTTGATATTCAGGCAATTTCTAACAGATAAAAGATGATGAAAGGCTTATAATGTGCAATCACATATGCAGTTGAGGAATATGTCTGATACATACTACTTGGACTTGTTCACTCATGGCTAAAATTATATAAGGAAAGAATTGAAAGTAAGCCTATGATCAGAATTCTACTAAAACTCAAACCTAATGCTAATCTTCAAACAAAGGAAGTTAGACTGAGGTCCAAGTGTCCCCCTTCATTAACATGACTTCAGTACTCACGTCTGGTTTAACTCAATTATCAGAATACAAGTCTAAGTGTTATCCTAATGAAACAGGTAATTGGGAAGGTGATGAATAGGCATAAAATATTCTTGAGGCTATCAGTCTTTCCCAGTAAGCCCCGAAGGGACTGTCTGTCCTGTAATCTGGACATCCCACTGCACTCAGTGAGAAAGTGATTTTCAGTATATTATGTTTGTATGGGAAGGGGAGGGGAGGGGAGGGGAGGGGAGGGTCTTTAATGGACAAAATAATGACCTCATTCAGTAATCAAAGGGATGTCCCCTATGAGTTATGTAACATGTAAATAAAACATCCTATGGATAACATGGGAGAACCACAGGTACTGCATGGCGCGTTGCTCATTTGCTGGCATTCTATGAAAAGATACGACATTCACACTTGTATGAACCGTTTATGCCTCTCCCACACATAACCAGTAGTGTGGGAAGGGAATAGGAATGCCCTCAGGTGAAATGTCCAGTACTAATGTCAAAAGTGGGTCTACTGTACTGGCCTACAGTTTCCTTTTGGCAAAGATCTACAAAACATTTTCTAAAATTGTAGAGTATACTAGCATTTCAAGATTGTATTTAAAAGGCTTCAGTTGACACTCCCACACTCGGTTGCTCCAATTTGGAACAGAAGCCCTGAGAACCCCCCCCCCCCCCCCCGTCCCCCTCCCCCTCCTATTTTACTCTCAAACTGACATGAATGTATAAGTTGATCTAGCAAAAAGACAGGTGAAAGCAAAATGGAAATATGTCTACTGATTGGATAGAGTTCTTCTAGCTAGCTTAGCTCTGACATTTCCACCTCTGGCGTTTTTACCTCTGGCACTTGCACCTCCAACATTTTTACAACGAACCCTGCAAATCTGAGTTTCTATCCTTACACGTCTTGCAAGCAATAACTATAAAGTTTCAATGAAGTAGATACAAGAATCCATACAGTCAGGCGCGTACGCAGGATTTTTTCAAGGGGGGGGTTTTAACATTTATAAATCGGTCCGAAAATTTCGCAACGACTCAGCCAGCCGGTGAATAAGGGGGGGGGGGGGGGTAAGAGGACACATTTTTTTTTTTTTTTTGGTCCCAAAAAAATCGCAACGACTCAGCCGACCGCTGAATAAGCGGGGGGGGGGGGGGGGGGGGGGGGTAAGAGGACACATTTTTTTTTTTTTTTTGGTCTCGAAATTTGGAAATTGACATTTTGCTCCGTTGGGGGGGGGGGGGTAAGGTCACCTTTTTTAGGCCGGCCATGAGAATAATTTTTTTTTTTTTTTTTTTTTTATATAAAAAAAAAAAAAAAAAAAAAAAAAAAAAAAAAAAAAAACCAAAAGGGGGGGGTTTTAGGTTTTTTTTAGGGGGTTTACACACAAAAAATTTCCAAGGGGGGGGGTTTAACCCCCCAAACCCCCCCCCCTGCGTACGCGCCTGCATACAGTGTATGCAACATAAAAATTAAGAATTACACGGGCACACACATTTTTTAAAGTGAGAAAAGCATTATTATGCAGTTTAAAACTCTTTCAAGATATTGTGCCATTCAATCTTGATATAAAAGCAAATATATAAAAAAGCAAAGATATAGATTACAATTGTATATCATCATCAGGTCTAGCCACATTTTACACACTTGACAAATAGCACTAGGCAAGACTTGAAAAGACCCAATCAATGTCCCACCTGATAGAAGAAAAATATTGTGATATTCCAAGCAGGTGCACTTGATGGTGGGGGAAAACAAGATCAGGAAGGCCTGATGAAAAACGTCTCTTTCATGCCTTGGAGTGATAAATCAACATGGTCACTATGACAAAACCAATTGGTGTTGGACAAAGAAGGATCCTTCTATGTCATGAGTGGCTTAATTGCTTGTGAGACAGATCGTTAGTCTGAAGGCTGATCTAACCAGAGCAGCTAGAGCATCTTTGACAGTGCTACTCATAGCTCAACATTGAAATTGTTCTTTCGCTACATAAAAGGGATACTATCCTGCTCTCTTCCACAACTGGATCATATGTACGCCATCATTTCCTTTCTTCTTTTCTTCGTTGAGCCATGGATTATGACTCATCACAAAATAATCAGTTGTAAGGAATGCTGGATTCAATTATTCACTCAATCCAATTTTTTGATATGATTAAGACAATTTCCTTTCTCCTTGAATGACATAGGAATATATATTCTTCACACATTAGAGTACTTTTATACTTTATCTGTGCATCGAAAGGTCATGGATGAATAAAGCCTATAATTTCTCTTTACAGAACTTTAACAATTAAACAAGGGAAACGCTCTTGGTGGTCTCGCCTGCATTACGCAATTCTATATGACAAATTGAGATTGAGACATGATTTATAGGCAGGGTGGCCCATTAGCAGGCCCCCAAAAAATGAAATCCTCTGAATATAATCAGCATTTTGAAGTGAATATTGACTAAGAATCATCAGAAATATCATTTACTATTATTTGTACCAAGATTGATAACTTACATTAAATATAATAAACAAATAACAAAAATTGATTTATTAATTCGCATATTAAGTTGTGAAAACATAAACCAAGTCTACTGACCTAAAATGACCTTTGACCTTGACTTTGTGACCCAGACTTTGTGTCATATGATTTGTAAAACTTGATAACCCTTGGGTACAAGTTTCATGGAATTTGAACAAACACTTTTGAAATCATGTTAAAAATTCAGAATCTTAACCTGATGCCACAAAATAGTCTAAATTTGTTGACCTGAAATGACCTTTGACCTTGACTTAATGACCTGAAATTCCACTCACATGATTGGGGATACTTGATAACCATTTAGTGTATGTTTCATTGAATAAGAACTTACACTTCCAAAATTATATTAAAAATTCAAAAACTTATACTTAGGTTAAGTTTTTGATGTTGACGCCGCCACTGTCGCCGCCGTCGCTGCCGTCGCCGCCGTCGCCGCCGTCACTGGAAAAGCGGCGCCATGTCTCACATTTTGCTACGCAGGCGAGACAAAAACAAAAGCGCATTTTGTTTTTAATTGGACAAAACAGAGCTTCTCTTTTCTATTCTTAATTAGCATAAAAACTGAAAGAAGTCCTGATAGAAACTGCTCTCGTGAAAAAACCTGATTGTAAAGGAAAATATAGAAATTTAAAACAATGAAAATAAAAAGGTCTTTTCAGTAGACAGCAAGTCATTAGGTAGATCACAGAGTTAGCAACATTCTGAAAATTAATAAACTTAACAGATTTTTGTCAAACTTTCACTGATCTGCATGTCTCTTTCGTGTTTCTGCTTTTACTAACACACACTTAATTATAAGAGTAGACTTTCCCTTTAAAGCTAGGGGTTGTGCAATTATAATATTTGGCACATCTCCCAAAAAAGTACTATTACTGGGAATATCTTTCACCTCATAACAGCCTCTGGTCTCTGACTCAGTACCAAGTCAGTCAATCAATGCAAAGTTAACAATTTCCTCAATAAAATCAGTCTATCAGCAACCCCCCCCCCCCAACCAAGACCTTAAATTCTTTATTGACGCACTTCTCGTTTTGCATATGCTGTATGTAGAATATGCTTTACAGCTAGTTCGATCTTCATTTTGAAAACATTAACAAAACACACCAGCAGATCTGCCAACCTCTGGAGTTCAAAAATTGTATTCTTAAATCCCAAAAGTTGTATTTTACTGACAAAAAGTGTATTCTTAAAAATTAACACAGACTGTTACGCGGATCAATGCCACTTACAGTTCCTACACACAAGAAGAAATTTGTTATGGATCATTGGTTGAAAATGCATGATTTTGTCACTACTGGTGAGTTCGATGAAACAATGAACATCCCCAAATTGCTGATGTGAGATGCTTGTAGGATACTTTACTGGACAGAATGGGCATTTTGCCATTGAAAATGGCTCACACCCACAAAAAAAAGAAAAAACTAGATGGAATTTTGACTGCGCGCAGTCGAAAATGATGCCTCCGCCATAGAGCAATTTAAACAAGTTTGGAGTTTAAATCTCCAGTGGTTCTTGAGATATCATGATAACAATCTCAATGTATGGAATTTCATAAGTTGACCTCTGTGACCCTTGACCTTTGACCTACGTGCTCCAAAATCTAATCAGATTGTCTTCCTATGGTGATACACACTATCATTAAGTTTGAAGTTTAAATCTCCAGTGGTTCTTGAGATATTATGATATGGTGATACATACTATCATTAAGTTTGAAGTGAAAATTCTCCAGTGGTTCTTGAGATATCGCGATAACGATCTCAATGTATGGAATTTCATAAGTTGACCTCTATGACCCTTGACCTTTGACCTACGTGCTCCAAAATGTAATCAGATTGTTTTCCTATAGTGATACACACTATCACTAAGTTTGAAGTTTAAATATCCAGTGGTTCTTGAGATATCATGATAACAATCTCAATGTATGGAATTTCATAAGTTGACCTCTGTGACCCTTGACCTTTGACATACGTGCTCCAAAATCTAATCAGATCGTCTTCCTATGGTGATACATACTATCCTTAAGTTTGAAGTTTAAATCTCAAATGGTTCTTGAGATATCGCGCTAACAAACTCAATACAAGGAATTTCATAAGTTGACCTCTGTGACCCTTGACCTTTGACCTACGTGCTCCAAAATCTAATCAGATCGTCTTCCTATGGTGATACATACTATCACTAAGTTTGAAGTTTTTACATCTCCAGTGGTTCTTGAGATATCATGATAACAATCTCAATGTATGGAATTTCATAAGTTGACCTCTGTGACCCTTGACCTTTGACATACGTGCTCCAAAATCTAATCAGATCGTCTTCCTATGGTGATACATACTATCCTTAAGTTTGAAGTTTAAATCTCAAATGGTTCTTGAGATATCGCGCTAACAAACTCAATACAAGGAATTTCATAAGTTGACCTCTGTGACCTGTGACCTTTGACCTACGTACTCCAAAATCTAATCAGATCGTCTTCCTATGGTGATAAATACTATTCCCGAGTCTTAAGTTTAAATCTTAAATGGTTCTTGAGATATTGTGATAACGGTCAAACGGGACGGACGTACGGACGGACGGACGGACAACCCGAAAACATGATGCCTTCGGCACCATCTTCGGTGGCGGAGGCATAAAAACCTAAATTTATCATTCAGCTTTTCAACATTAAGTTAAGCAACAAACATCTAACATTGATTTTAGAATATGCTTTCTCAACTATGGACGTTGCTTAACATGTCCAGAGCTGCTAACCTTGTGCAACCAAAATAAAGGGGGCCATGATGGCAAACAAAAGGAATTTTAAGCAAAACAAGGGAATTCATAAAAATAAAACCAACAAACACGAGCGACGCACTTCCAATGCAGAAATGTGAATTCCTCATGCGGTTATTTCCATATAAGAACATATAGTTTGTTTACAAGAGGCGCATTTATACTGTCACATACCTCATTTCCTAAAATCGCAATGTTTCGCGCACCCGTTTACACTTGTGCTGAAACATCACCGACTGAAAAGCTCAGTGATGTTTTAGTGTCAGTTGGTAATGCGCATGCGTGGCACTCCGATGCAAAAACCTCCTTCGATCAGCTGTTTTATGCTGTGGCTGCTGCAGTCCAGTGAACTTTTTGTTTCTTTCGTTATATCATCTTTTTCCTACCATTCAATGAAGTTATTCCTTGTTTTTCCATCTTTCATCTTCTCTTCTATCTTTCCATTATCATTTTTTCTTTCTGTCTTTCCATGTTATTCTTTGTTTCTTTCTTCTTTTAGTTCTTTTATATTATTCTGTGTTTTTGTTATTCTGTTTTTTTTCTTTCTATATCACCTTCTCTTATGTTATTCTTTGTCTTTATCATTCTAGCACTTTCTCTATCTACCTTTCCTTATGTTATTCTTTGTTTCTTCCTTCTATCACCTTCTCTTTCTGTCTTTCCTTATGTTATTCTTTGTTCCTTCCTTCTATCACTTTCTTTCACTTTCTCTTTCTGTCTTTCATTATGTTATTCCTTATGTTATTCTTTGTTTCCCTCTTCTACAGTGCGTCCCAGAAAAACGAAACCGAGAATTATCAATGTTTTATCCTAACTTAGTTGCATTTATATTTGAAATATGACACATATTTGGAAAGCTTAGATCCTCCTCTTTCATTCGATATTTCACGCATGGGTGATTAAAATGAACTTGAAGAGAGGAAACCAAAAAGTAATTTGGCGGATGGTATCTGAATTTCAAAGAGAAAATCACATTTCTAGAAAGCTGAGTTTCTGCCCCTTCATATGACACCTCGGTCAGGAAATATGAGCTAGAAATAACAAAGTTCTGTTTGTTAAAAGTAGTGCTTGCATTTCCATAATTTTATGAAACGAATGCGTTTTCACTGGCTGCCTGCAGTAGCAACAAGCAGAATCGACAAAAGACTTGTCTCCATTTCGTTGACAATCAGCCATGCATGGAGGAGCATTTATAGGATTAATATGAAATCATGAAAATGCATTCTCCATTACGTAAAACAGTAGCAAATGTATCACCTAATTCGTCAAAGTGACAAATTCAGGTCTAGTTAAAATATGGTGTTATTAAAGTATAATACAACTTTTTTAGAATATTTAAAGGATAAAAATGAAATTTATATAAAATACCAATATTTTTTGCTATTTTTATTACACACCACATTTATATGCTCATGCCACTTCAATTTATGATTAATTACAATACCTAAAAACTTCAGATTATCTACATGTTCAAATTCATGATCATTTACTTGTAAAAGAATGTTGTTAAAAATCAATATTTTTATTTGTAAAAACCATATACTTAGTTTTATTATAGTTTAAACCCAATTTATTATATAAAAATCAATTAGAAAGTTTCAAAATTTCTTTCTTAAAAACGTCTTGTAAAACTTGGACATCAGAATGAGACATAAAAACAGTTGTGTATTCAGCAAATAAAATAAACTTTGATATATCAGAAATATTGCACATGTCATTAACATTTAGATATAATAAATAAAAGAGGTCCAAGGATGGATCCTTAAGGCACTCCACATCTAAATTTGTCGGTACTAGACTTAGCTTTTTTTATTTGTACAAATTGGGTTCTATTTTCTAAATAACTTTCAAACCATTTTAAAGTTACTCTACGAATACCATAATAACATCATTTTTTCATTAAAATAGTGTGGCCTAATGTATCAAATGCTTTACTTAAATCTAAAAATATAGTTGTTCTCAACTCCAGTTAATATCATTATTTCCATCTGAAATCAAGTTCATCATGGGCTTCTTTTACCTCCTCACTTTTTACCGATCACTCCTAAATTAGTATAATTGCGTCATCTGCAACATTACAAACTCATTGCAGTTGTTGACATGTCCATGTTGTACGCACGGTATGTATATATTTCCTGAGCAGCATTCCCATGATGCATCATGCAGCAATCATCATAACTTACCACTTCTATCAGCTGCTCCTCCGTGCATCACCCTTGCAATTACTATCATTCCAGTCTTCGGATCATACTTGATTGTAGCTCCCTGAAAAGGAAAGAGAAGAATGAATGACTGATGATGCTCTACATACATGGAGATATTGAGTGATTAGTGCTACACAATCATCAAAACTATGTTTTATTTGTTTCTATTACAATTTGTTTACAGAAAATTCAATAAAAATACACTGATGTCTTAAGAAATTGATGTCTCCCATATACATGTAATTCAGTCATGAAGTGCTGGGAGTCGAACCAGGGGTGGTATTCTGAAAACTATGTTAAAAGGGGTGTAGCATGGCAAATACTGGTTAACGCCATCTACAACTTTTTTTGGACTTGATTAACAGTCAGTGCGCGCTAGGGTTCGCAAAACAGACCGAACTTCTCCTCACGCTTCGGTTTGGCATGTTGCACGCACGTGAATACTGTAGTTGTATTATACCCGATTGGCCCAGAGTCAGGCCACAGGAAAGACATGTAGTCTCGTCATGCTACACCCCCTTAAAGTTGAATGTATGTTTGCTAACAAAATTTGTACAACATTGCAATAAGTATTCAGAACAAGAAAGAAAACAAGGTCAAATGTAATTTCAGTTCTGCAAACTTAGACTTTGTTGTGGCATCAACATCAAGATTTTGAATTTTTAGCATAATTTCAAAAGTGTTTGTTCAAATTCCATGAAACTTGTACACAAGGGTTATCAAGTATCACAAATCACATGACACAAATTTCAGGTCACAAAGTCAAGGTCAAAGGTCATTTTAGGTCATTAGACTAGATTATGTTTTCACAACTTAATATGAGAATTAATGAATCAATTTTTTTTAATTGTGTAAATTCCATTTGAGATATCAATCGTGGAACAAATTATAGTAAATAATTCTTCTGATGATTCATAGTCAATATTCACTCCAAAATGCTGATTATATTCAGAGGATCTATTTTTTTTTTTTTTTTTTTTTTTGGGGGGGGGGGGGGGGCCTGCTAATGGGCCACCTTGCCTATAAATAATGTCCCAACCTCATTACCCACTATTTCTGTATTGTTGGACGTTTTGCATCTGTTCTTACCTTTTGTAATTATTGTGCAGTGATTTTTATGATTATTGTTATCATGATGTATGTACGAATTACTTGATAAATAAAAGTTTTAAAAGATAAAAAAAAAAAAAATGTCCCAACCTCAATTTTTCATCATATAGAATTGCCGAGAGCATTTCCCTTGTTTAATACCAGAGCTCACTTGGGTGTTGAGCTACCTGGTGCATACAGTGCTAATCGCAAATACAAGCATATCAAGAGTTGATATCAATAGCGACTATGTACATAACAGATAGGAGACTCAGGCGCGTAGCCAGGGATGGGGGGGGGCGGGGGGGGGGGGGGGGCGGTGGGGGAGGTCGCCCCCCCCAAAAAAAAAAAAAGGAGAAAGGAAGAGGACGTAGCAAGAAAAAGGATTAAGAGTCGAGAACGGTACAATGAATCGTCTTTCTCAAATAATTTATGAAACGTCGAAGCTTCCGCGCTACACCCAAAGGAGACAAGAAAAAGTGGTCTTTATAGGCAGGTGGTCTTTATGTACAGGTTTCTTTAGTACAATGAAAAACAATGAAAAACCATTTTCAAGGGAAAAAAAAATGTGGTCTTTGTAGACAGGTGGTCTTTCTATACGGGTGGTTAGGTTAAGTTTTGATGTTGATGCCACAAAAAAATCCAAGTTTGTTGATCTGAAATGACCTTCGACCTTGACTTTGTGACCTGAAATTCTACTCACATGATTGGGGATACTTCATAACTCTTTAGTCCAAGTTTCATTGACTAAGAACTACTACGATCAAAATTATGTTACAAATTCAAAAACTTAACCTGAGTAGGTTAAGTTTTTGATGATGATACCACAACATAGTCCAAGTCTGTTGACCTGAAATGACCTTTGAACTGAACTTTGTGATTAATGGGATTTAACTACTAAAACGCGAAACCTCAATCTGTCATGATAAAATGTGTTATAATTTTAATAGGTTTTTGAACCGACAGCAAATGTCTATTTATTCTCACCAGAGGCTCTACACTCTTCACAAGTTTGACTATCTTCACTCCTGCCTCCTCCTCATCACTACACAAGGGAGTGATATCTCCTGGAAACTCTGGAGGGAGCTCTGGCATGTAGTCCTTATTGGCAATCTGGTCATGGATGTCAAATACTGCCCTCATGTGGGCTCTAGTGAGCAGGCAGCAAAGTTCCATGACTTCAGGCATGTTGACAAATCCCTGCATCTCTTCACAGACCTGGGTTAATACAAATTTTTTTCAAATGAATAATGGTTAAGTGGATGGCCAAAGTCAAAATATCATGCTTAGTTTTTATATACATGTAGCTCCCACTACTTCACAAACTAAGTACACCTTATTTGTTCAAAATATTTTATCATAATAAACTAGAAAAATATGACTGCGTATCCTATATATATGTATGCCTTCGCCCCCTATTCAGTACCGTAAATCTCTGTATAAGACGCACCTTTTTTCCACCGAAAAAAATAAATCGAAAGTCGGGGGTGCATTTTATACACAGGCACAATAATTTTGTTGTTGTTGTTGTTGTTGTTAGTGTCTATTTAAAATGCCCCTTCACCTGGCTTTGTGCCTGGCAATGTCTCCCAGCTCAGTCATACATGGTGTGTTGACACACCACCCGGAAACTAGAACAACACTACCTGTATGTACGGGTTCCTGTTTGGACTTAGGAAAATTTGTCTGTCATCCTTAGTTTTAAAAACGACATTGTTACTATTATTTGTGACACGCACAAGTTCACAAGCACAAATCGGCACCTTCAACTGCACCTGCAGTAAAATGAAGGTCCTTCCTCGCGTTGGTTTTTTAACACGGACCTGGCTTGCTGCCTATGGAGTCGGCAACAAAACAAGAAAAAAATATTTAAAAATAGGGGTGCGTCTTATACACAGAGATTTACGGTACCGTATTTGCTGGCGTAAAGGCCGCAGTATTTTTGGAAGAGAAAATATCAAAAAGTTGGGGTGCGGCCTTTGAAGTGAAAGAGTAAAAAAAAAAAAACGCAAGTCAAAACCATGAAAAGCAGCACGAATTTGTACATATGGGACAACAATGAAAGGTGATGGACATTTCTAGAATAACTGTCTAGAATAACACATGTCTTACCGACAATTATGTGTTATATTTTTGAAATGAAGGGCAAAATCTTGTAAATAAAATTTGTAACTTACCAACCAACCAAACTCTACTGGTAGATCTAGATTTAAGTTTTTGCCATATAAAGCAACCTCAGCTCGCGTGATCAAAGCTATGGTGCAATACACAAGAGATAGGGGCAATACACAGGAGAAAGCTCCAAGTGAAAACATCAGGGTCGGGATAGCCGAGCGGTCTAAGGCGGTGATTTGAGTCGCATTCTACATTTGTTTGGGTGAATCCCGCCTCCGACAAAACTTTTTTTTTTTTAAATGTCAAAATCGGGGGTGCGGCCTATGCGGCGCTGTGGCCTTATCGCCGGCAAATACGGTATATGAAATGGATGGAATTATTTGTGACATGTCAAGCTTTAATCAAATGTCAATCAACGACTACCGGTATGAACTTGAACTACTAGCCCCAAAATGTAATGGGATTATGTTCCTATTATAGTAATCACCATGTTTAGATATTGCGATAGCAAGGCAAAAACCATAATTTTAAAAATTGACCACTGTGACCATTGACCTACTGACCTTTACATTTATAAAGGCATGCATTTGTTTCCATTGTCCTTAAAATCCAAGATGGCGGCTCGCATGCTTTGTCTTTTCTCTTTATAGACTAATATTATTAATTTAAAAGTCATGAAAAGGCACTTACCGTTAATAACAATAAACATGGTCTACAACAACTCCAAATGACAAAATAATCCCAGCTATCCATATCTTTGGGAAATTGATAGCATTGTTACAGCATTCACCAACACGTCCGATTCTAATGATTTTAGTGTCTAATAATATGTCTTCTGACATGGCAAATTCAACTATACAACTTTCAAAAGTAAAAGTGCTTACCTTGACCATGAACATTCAAAATGGCTGCCGTTTCAGTGACAAACATTTAACAACTTCTTATCCATGGATTTGGGGGAAATGTCAAGATTATGGCAACCACTTTTGATTTTAAAAGTTGCTTATTTGAATTTGCTAGGTCAGAAAACATATTATTAGACACTAAAATCATGAGAATCGGACGTGTTGGTGAATTTGACCACCAGTCTTAAGTGCATTGACCTTTTGGACCATAGCGCCCTCATGTAAGGTCGGAGGTATAACAAACTATACATTTTTGGAATCCTCATGACCAGACGAGTAATTTGATATGCAATTTGATAAGATTAAATGTGTTGGTGAATTTGACCACAGGTCAAAAGTGCGTTGACCTTTCAACGTTTTTGACCATAGCGACCACATTTTAGGTCGGAAGTATAATAAACTATACATTTTTGGAATCCTAATGACTAGACGAGTAATTTGATATGCATATCGACACGATTGGAATATATTTTTTTTCTACCCTGTATGACCTTTGTTGACCCCTCACGAAAATGCCCGGGATTTTCAAGGGGGCAGCCCAAGTCAAAATTGTTCGGTATTCATCAGGGAACACAAAAACACTTCAAACCTTTGTTTCCAGACATTGGTCACGGGACCTACAGGCTGGTCTCCTACTATACCTGTACCTGTCTATAAGACGCACCCCAACTTTCGAATTTTTCCAGAGGAAAAAAGTGCGTCTCATACACAGAATACAGTATGTGTAAAATGCCTTTGTGTGCATGGTCCATTGGGCCTTGGCATGTGACTACTGTAGCCAGGAATTTGGGCGCTAGTGAATTAATACTAGGTTTTGGTGAAGGGATACATGATTAACATACATGTCGAAGAATTCTCATCTATTAGACCAAATAAAAAAAAAACATGTTTAGCGTCCTGTTTTTTCGAAAAAATAGGAAGGAGGAGGCCCTTTTTTTTTCTTCAAAATAGCCGCTCAAAATGGCCGCTCCGTACATTTTCCCCGACAGTCGGGGCTATTTTTTTTCAAGATGGCCGCCGACAATTTTTTTTTTTTAAATCAGAAATAGAGCCATTTTAGCAGTGTTTTCATGTTTTTTTCTTTCAAAAAAAAAAATTTCAAAAAAAAAAATTTTCAAAAAAAAAAATTTTTAAATTAAAAAAAAAAAAAAAAAAAAAAAAAAAAAAAAAAATAGGAGGCGGCCCCCCAAAAGGAAGCGGGTGGGGACGCTAAACATGTATATTTTTTTAAATGGCCTTAGGATTCATGTATTCTGATAGGAATTTATTCACTATCCAGTTTATACACGTTGGGCATTTGCAATGTCTTAATGATTCAAATGTTTTGGAAAAATACTAATTACCTATTTTGCCATAATTCTGAAAGATATTTCTTTGTTCATGACCGATCTTATCACCCCGCTTGTAGCGGTGTGTCCAGACAGAATAAGGCAATAAAGAGCAACAACTCGACTCCTCAGGCTGCCATTGTCATCTGTATTGTCTGATGTCTGCCCCCACTCATCCTCGCTATTCCCTACTACATGTATTCACCACCCCCTACAAATGTATATCACAAAGTTTGCAGCCTGTTTCAAGTTTAGACTAAATAGTAAGACCAAATAGTAATTTGGACAAGATAGCAATTAGACCAAATGGTAATTTGATCAAATGATAAGACCAAATGGTAATTTGACCAAATGATAAGACCAAATGGTAATTTGACCAAATGATAAGACCAAATGGTAAGACCATATGGTTATTAGACAAATCACCATCAGGTGAAATGGAAACAGCTCAACTGAATGTACACAAAGTGAAATATGGACAAAATTATATAGGACCAAGTGTGTAATGGACTAATTGGGTTCATACCGTTTGATATTAGAGCAAATGGCAATTGGACCAAATGGTAATGTACCAAATATGTATTGGACCAAATGGTTCAAAATATTCAATTGCCATTTGTCTTACTGGTTATTAGACTAAATAATGACTGAACTGTTAATTGGATGTGTTTAATGGAAAATTGGGTATAGACTAGTAAATTGAAGTTAGTCGATCTGGGTATTGGACATAGTGGCCCGAATTCACAAAGCAAGGTTTGAGCTCAGACCAAGGTTTGAGCTCAAACCTCCTTTTGTTCCGCCAAACCTCCTTTTGTTATTTACAAACCTGTTGTAAATAACAAACGGAGGTTTGGCGGAACAAAAGGAGGTTTGAGCTCAAACCTTGCTTTGTGAATTCGGGCCAGTGGCTTTGGACCAAATAACAATAAGCAGTCAGGTTATTGGTTAAACGGATAATGATAATGGAAGTGATTACTGGATATATTCAGGAGTTTTAAAGTTTACCTCATACAGCATTTGGAATGCATTATTATCAGCTGGTGGATACTTCCAGTCATCGAAATCTTCAATTATTGAGTGAGCCTGCAGAAGAAATGAATATGAACAGGAGCATGTTATTACAATTTTTTTGTTACTGGGTGATTCTGTTACACCTTAAAAATTTCTGAAAATTTATATTTGCTTCTTGTTAGTAATCATTGTAATATTACAATGCAGTTTAAAGCGTCAACAAATTAAAATAATGTTAGTTTTCTTTCTATGGTGACTTTGAGGCATCTTTTTTCAGGAGGAAATACTTGAAATTTTATATTTTTCACACATGTACCCACTAACCGTATTAATATGTATGTTGCTGCAAATAAAATTACTAAGCAGACTGTCATCCAAATTCCAAATACTATACAAGATCTAGATCATCATCTAGGGCATCACCCATTTTGAAGAAGAACAACAATTGTATACAGACTTCAGAGTCAATATATATTATTGGTCAAGCCATTTCTGTCATATTGTCCCATACAACATATTTAGGTGGAAAGTTTTGAAGGGCTTTCTTGGGGGTCTACAATTTTGTAGACCTGCAGTCTTTTGATTTCCCTTACAAATAGTAAAATGAAAAAAAGTTTGAAAGATTAATTTCATTCCCCTTTTTATAAATAACATCATCAACTTTGTCCCATGCAACATATTGCATGCTTTGCAGGACATGTCCCATATTGCCAGCCTCATTTTAGATATAAATATTTGCACAGGAATGTTGATTGTAAGTCTGTAAACAGGACTAGCTCCTGACAAGTCATCAAACGATGAAAATAAGGTTGCAAGGTCTTTGGAGGTCCGCACAGACACATGCTTAACTGCCATGTATTGAAGCTGTCCCATAAGACACATTTTATATTTAAATAAATATAGCAGTTTGTTATCATATATGAAATATATGATTAAAACCTCTTGGGTATTCCAAAGTAAATCTTTTAAAGATAATGATTGATCATGTTAGGTCAGTAATAAGGACAACCAAAGTCAAGAGATGTCTGGTACAACATATCATCCTGAAGATTTGATTTTATGCATTATTTTTAAATATAAAAGACATTTTCAATGTGAAAGGTCTATTAAATTCTTATTTGATGGCTTCACGTAGGCTGATAGATAGATGTTCAGAGATATTTTTCAATGCAACTCACAGAGCTTTGAGGATAAACTTAAATTACAAGATTTTTTTTTTTGGGGGGGGGGGGGGGGAGGGGAAGAAAAGATTTTGTTGCTGTTGCAGACTCCATAGGCAGCAAGCCAAGTCCATGTTAAAAAACCCACGTGGCGAAGGATCTTTATTTTACTGCGAGGTGCAGTTCACACAAATAATAGCAACAATGTCGTTTTTAAAACTAAAGATGACAGACAAGTGAATTTTCCTCTAAGTCCAAAAAGAAATTTGGCCATACAGGTAATGTTGTTTCTAGTGTCTGAGTGGTGAGTCAACACACCATGTATGACTGAGCTGGGAAACAGTGCAAGGTGGAGGGGCATAAATCGACCAAAAAAAAGAAAGAAGTTTTTTGCACCTGTGTATACGCATCCCCGACTTTAGAAAAAAAATTGGCGGGAAAAAGTGTGTCTTATACACAGAGATTTATGATAAATGTCCTGTACGAAATACATAAAATCGCCCTTATACCATTTTAAGTTTTTAAACTTCTTTATTCATGGAACAGGATGTTGGCTATCGATGGCTTGTTTATATTGTCCTGCTGCCTTTCTTTACAAGATATACTGATGAACATAATTAGGGAACAAATTGTTAATCACATGCACAGACAATACACTTCCTTGGAGACAGAGGAAGAGAATTATAAAGAATAACAAACTAAAATTTAGGCAAATTCCAATCAAAGTTTTGATGATTATTTTTACAAACTGCAATTCTGTGAGTTGCTACACCATGAGGTTGGATTTTTTTTTAAATTCAAAGACCAGATTCAATGAGCGACACTTTACTTGGTAACAATAAATACTTTACTGGCCTATTCTGGTTTACAAATAAAGGCCATGTCCATTCCAAAAATAGTTTGCTTTTAATAGATGCAGAAAAAAAACAGTGCTTTCTGACTGTTCTATCGGTTGTATATTTAGTCTATCTATTCCTGTTTGCAAGAGGAAATCTGCAAGTTAAACACTATCAACGTATAGGCACCAGTAAAGTCAAAAACCACTCTTTGATAAAAAAAAAAATATTATACTCATTATCCAGCAGACACTCTACGGCCCCATGGATAAATATGGGTTAAAATAGAGATTACCATGACAATAATCTTTATGACGTGTTGCTTGCCTTCTACATCTGTTATAGAAGCAGATTCAATGCTGTAAGCATAATGCCTCAAAGTCATCACCAGAGACTTATTAAAATGCATGAATAATCAATGAGCTCTAAAGTCATCTATTTGAATGTTGGCGACACTGTTCCATCTGTCAGGAAGTCTTAAACCAAATTTTGTCTACATACATGTAAATGACAAATATGGAGTCAGCGAAAGAGTATACATGTAGGTTCTTTCTCAGCTATCAAGAAATCCTCTTTTCCCCTCCAATGTGGAATCTGTTTGTCTGTCAGGAAGTCTAGATTCAGTGAGGAAAAAAAGCTAATCAAGTATGACAAAACAGTTGTTGAAAGGAAAATGAATTTTTCATCCATGTTCCTCTTAGCCTACTTTTTGCATGTTTGACAGGAAACCATAAAATCTGTTATTTTTGTAAGGAAGATGATTATGCGTCTTAAGAAATTTCATACATACCTTGGAAGGAACAGGAGAACAATGAGTCACATCCATGGGTAGAATATCTACATAACCTTAAATATTAAAAACATATTGTGATTTACCACCAGTTTTACTTTCAAAATTATAACAACTGCCCAACTTGCAACTGCCTCTACGTGTAAGTGTATTCGGAAATGTCTTGCTTGCAGGGCTCAAATTAATTTTTTGTCCACGGGGCTCTTCCAAAAAAAAAGAAGAGCCCCCATGAGCCTTCTCACGGGGGCTCTTTTAGTGCTGACGGAGGCTCTTATTTTAATACAAATTTCCATTGAATTGGTACCCATGAAACTCCTAAATTCCTTGGTATTTTATCATTATCATTTATTTAAATCGGTATTTTCCCTCTTAGAAATTTACTTGCTACATAGCTGTTATTGACTTTATATCCCTGTGATGACATTCTCTCCATTTCTTCCCGTACTGCACATAATGTCCTCCTCATTATGCGGAGCATCCATATTTACATTCTTTCTTTACTTTTAGTCTTTACCATATCCTTCCAAAACACAGGGGCGGATCCAGCTTTTTGCTAAGGGTGGGGGGGGGGGGGGTAACCCAAATACGATGTGGAGCATTGTCCACGAGCCGAATAGCGTTGAGGCGATTTTTATTGTTGCTATTTTGAACCCCCGTAAGTGATGTTTTCCTGGCATCTACTAACATGCGGAGCATCGTCGACGAGCCGCAAAGCGGCGAGGCAATTTTTTGGTGCTATTTTGAACCCACGTTAGTGATGTTTTCCTGGCATCTACTGACATCTACTAATACTGTGTAGGTCTGGACACATGATAGCATATTTCTATGCACATCACATTTTCACTTGGCAGCCCAGGGGGGGGGGGGGGGAGGGGGGTTAAACCTCCTAAACCGCCTAGATCCGCCCCTGCAACATCTTTGATGATCTTCTTCTCAATATTGATTTACTGGTCGTGTTACATTATTGCTGGTCTTTTAGAATAACCAGATTTGAGAGGATTCACAATTTTCACAACGAAAAACTTCTCCATGTTTCAGTCCTTGCGCGATTGTCTCCAGCTCCAGCAGATATTGGGCGTCAGCGTGCCCACCGGTACTACCGGTGCAGTATAGCCATTGCTGACGGACGCATTAGCTGCACTGCCAGTTTCGGTTGTTTGTATCGGTAATATTCATAGAGAAGGGAGAGATAGCGCCATCTAAGTTCCATTTGCTTGGTTTAAGGTTTGAAAAATTGATATTCAATATTGTGTTAAAGTTATATCAGAAAAGATAATCTTTATTAGTGCTGTAACATCACGGATATCTCGCAATTCCGTTTAACCGCCAGTCAAAACCGGACGGTTTTCGGTTAAACGATTTAAAAAAAAATTTTTTTTTTTTTTAAATTTAAAAAAAATTTATTTATTTATTTTATTTATTTTTTTCTGTGTGAAAAAGCAGGTGCAGTTGAAGGCGCCGATTTGTGCTTGTGAACTTGTCACAAATAATAGTAACAATGTCGTTTTTAGAAGATTGTGTAAGATCATTAATGTAAATTAAAAATAGTAGAGGACCTATGTCCGTGTTAACGAGTTGTACTAAAGCGCGCACATGCGATCTATCATCTATACACTGACCTCTACACACTCAGCGCGCTAGTACAACTAGTAAACATGGAAAACCGGAAATCGTTGTGCATGATGGGATCGGGATATTTGACTCCGTACTTCGGTTTCATGAAGATGGTCGCAAACTATCCTGCTAGTTCGGATATAGTGGGATATTTTGCAAACTAGACTGAGATATCTTGGGATATTATCCCGACCAACTATCCAGCTAATTTGCTACTTCGGTCTAATGAAGACGCAAATTAGCTGGATATTTTGCGATCGGGATAGCTCAAATAGCTGGATATTTGGCAATCTCGAGATAGTGAAGACGGGCCTAAGGTTGTCTGAACATTGTCAATTTTTCTACATTATAGAGCAGGTTAAACAAGAACATAATATGCAGAAACTTAACTTGCTGTATCCATATTTGTTGATAATATGACACTTGCATCAGTCATTCGCATCACAATGTATCATAGAATGAAAAGGTTAATCTCCAAAGACAAATTTAGAAGTAAACAAGAAGGAAGCTGAAATGTGATCCAAACATTGAACTTTCATTGTAGTAACAGGAACTATGCATTTAGTTGACAGGAAATATTACTCCATTCAATCATCTATCAATTAGAGAGAGATAGCAAGAGAGAAAGAGACAGGGATAGAGAGAGAAAGAGTGAGAGAGAGAGGGAAAGAG